CGCAATTTCCCGCATTTGAGAGGCAAATCATGGTGTTGAGAGTGTTTGTCGGTCCTTCTCATGTTTTTATATTTTACTCAAAATTTTTGTTAATTTGCCTGTCAAGGTTGACGGATTCGTTAATAAAAATTCTGTAAATCTCCGAAAACTTCCAGAAATTGATGGGAAAGCTGGTTCTGGCTAGAGCCGAAGGGACCGAGCGCAGAAGCGCGAGTCGAGAGCCAAAGGCGTGAGCAATGTAGGGGGGTCCGGGGGCATTCTCCCCCGGGAAATTTTTTATTTTTAAACCTTCAATGACGCATTTTCCTACACTTTGAAAGCAAAATTAGGCGTAACGAAGAATTATTCATTAACGCTTAACGCTGAATTTAGGATGACAAATAACGTTTTACGTTGAATTAAAACGACCAATAACGCTTCACGAGGAATATACTGATAACGCTTAACGTTGAATTAGAGCGGGCCGGCAACGATTAACGGTGAATTAAAATAGCCCATAACGGTTAACGAACAAGGGCATGCAGACCCTCTCTAGAGGGTCAATAATATTAAAATGTTCCGTTCCACACGGAACAGTGTACGAATAACAATCAATCAATCAATCAATCTTTATTGCGCAACAATTGCAACAGGTACAATGTATGGCAAGTATAGACAAGAATAACAATACTAAAATCTACTTCTAAATGACTAACTCTAGACGCTACGCTGTAATTGTGTACTATGAGTTATACAATATATATGGGACATGGATACAGTATTAACATCCATTCGAAGTGTCAGAGATGATATGGTTTCTTTTCTGGAGAGCGGAAGATATGAATTGGCCTATATATAAGGATATTGGTTCAGGACATGACATAAGTAAATTAAATGTATCTGAGCTTGTTCTAGGTAAAGTAAGGTTTGAGTTACGTGAGATCATGTTCATAAGTGTCAGCCTTTCTTCAGTGTACGTGGGACAAAATAATAAGAAGTGAAATTCGTCTTCAACATTGTGTTTACATGTGAGAGAGAGAGATCACAGCCAGTGGCAGTCATGTACATTTTAGGGTAGTATTATTGTCCAAAATAAAAGGCTTTGAAAGAAACTGTTAATGCCCCCAGTGCAATTTGAAGGCGGCAAATAATAATATTTTAGATCTATAGATTAGGAAATCTGACTAACATTGACATTTACAGCCGTTTCATAGCACATTTCAAACCTTTTTGAAGCATTTAAAATAGCCCCCAAACAAAATACGTGAAGCGTCTCTTTATTTTTCTATATAGTACGATACAAAACAAGTGACCATTTTCCATCAGCAACATCTCATTTGTTTGTGCCCCAGATATGAGTATGCTTTGGGACAGGATTGATTCAACTTACTACGTTAAAAGAATGACCAGCTCAGAAAATTGACTTTGAAAATCAAGTTTTGACGCCCTAAAATTGCATTGGATTCCCTTAAATGTGTTACTAGGAAATTCTCTGCATCATTCTTCTCGTCTTGTACATGAGAAACGTAACAGCTAATCTGTCAAAATTCAGGCTGTACACCTATAGATATGATATACATGTATATAACAGACATACAAAAATCTCAGCTCAAAATAAAGAAGACACATGTTGTCTTCAGCAATATTTAAGATTAAAAGTTTACAACTTTTAGGTTCCCCTAAAGGAAACAAAATGCTGTGTTCCTGCTGGTACTACATGCACCTAATCTTCAAGCAGGTCTTTTGGTAGCTGCTAGAGTATTGACATGTCTGTATTCCATACGCCACCCGTACGCGTTTGGCTGCCAAAAAAAAGATACAAGTACAAAAAAAGACAGCCCAATAAAAAGCCTACAAACAGGTCAAAAATAGGAGGAAGCCTAAATTTCTGTTTGGATAATAGGTACATGTACTACCCTCCTCATTACAATGATAAGGAACTAAAGTTATACACTTACACTGTTGTAAGTTGTTGTGCTACAGTTTACGTGAGCACAATACAATGGTCAAACACAAGAGACACCATTTGTGGTAGAAATCACTACTTCAAAAACTCAGGGAAAAGTTTCATCAACACATTAGTCTCTACCAGACACCTTGGGCTGCTATAAGATACTAGTATATGTAGTAGAAATTGTGGCTGAACAAATTGGCTCCCCAGCAGGAGGTCGGAAGCTGCAGAATTTGCTAATGTTACATCCGCTAGAGGTCGCGCCTGGACCAAGATGTTTCGCCATCTTCCAACTATGGTACTGTAACAACAATGTACCGGTAATGTACCTGAATTGTGTAATGCTTCTGTCTACTGATCAAGTGAAACACTCTTTGCTAGCACCTATATGGTACAGGATATTGTACATGCAAACAAGTGAGAAGGAGACAATTTTATGTAAGCTGATGAGAATACCCTGGATGGAGCGTTTTAGAGAAATGAGAAAAGGTACATAAACTGACAATATCCAGCACTGTACATGTCTTGCATCAGCAGGGAAATTTCACTGCACCAACTCACATAGTTAATCCTGATGTTTGATGATGAAACCTTTCAATTAAATATAACATAATGAAATTGATATGATGAAAATAAGATGAAGCAAAAGTAAGCTTCCGTGCTTTTTTTATATATTAGGCCACAGCAAGTCATTTTTCTGGATGACATCAGCGCGCGCATTAATTTTCGCCTGATTTGGAAAAAAAAACAACAAGAAATTGTGTTGCCTTCTGACAGTGGTCACCATGCCGAAAATGGGCAAAGATGTCTGTTGCCATGCCGGAAGGTGGATGGCAGATACCTATAAAGAGAGGAGACAAGAAAAGGCTCTGATTTAATGTTTTGTTTCTTCCTTTGATGCGGTGATATGTGATGCTGGCTGTATATAGGTGATGTTCCCACTGAATCAAAACCATTTGTACAAAGATTAAGTCAATTTTTAAAAATGTAGGAACCTTGTTTTCTTTTCGGCCAGCCTTTTTTTCGCCCGCTCGCATTACATTTGGAGTCTGCGGAGGATGTCATCCATAAAATTTACGTGCTGTGGCCTTAAGTAAGTTAGATAAGGCATGTCGGGTTGCTGCAGTACTCCCAGCGTGTGCTAGGGTCCGTTGTGTAACACCACAGAGTGGTCCCGTCACTGTCTGGATTGCGGCAGTAGTTCTCGACCAACTCATCAGGATACTCTTCCGGTCGGAAACGGTGACAATGCGGAACGTTGACATCCCATCTCTGGCACGTCTTCCCAGTTACGGTCACGGAGAGGTTGCCGCGGTAGTCAGATCCGTCAGGCTTACCTGGGCAGACTGGAGCAAGATTCAACTATCCGTCAGGATTTATACTTGGGGGCTGTAGCTTCAATTCACGGCAATTCACGACATTTTGTTCAAACAGTGTCTCATCCAATCATTAACAACTATAGGTTTCAGGATCATTGTACATGTACATGCAACCAATGTAACTAGGCACTAGTAAGTAGTTCATGTTTTTTATATATTCCTGTGGGAAGAATAGAAGCAAACGAGAATAATAAAGAGTAAATAATAACCTGTTTCGAGCACAGTCATGTTGCATGGGACTTCATCACGCGATTCTTCATCTGAACCAGCAGGATCTGAAGTACAGGGAAGATTTGAATGAGACATCATTAATTAAAAGGCATCCAGTGCAACAAAAATATTCTATCTTATATTGACTGCCATGTCTTAGCACATTGTTTTTTTTG